AGATTGATTGTCAACTAAAATTGAAGTAGGATTTGCTTGAACTTGATGCAAGTCATTCAAAATTTTCCTCAGCCAAACCGCCTGATTTGTAGCTGACGTTGCAACCACATACTCTGTTTCTGCTGTCGATTGAGCCACAATATCTTGCTTCTTTGAGTTCCAACTGAATGCACCAGATCCCAGAGTAAATAAATACTCAGATGTGCTCTTCATATCATCCATTAAACTGGACCAATCACTGTCTGAATAGCCAATTAAATCTGATCCAGCTCCTCCTTCATAATAGATTCCATGATTGAGGGTTCTTCTGATGTATCTGAGGACTCGATTGGCAGTAGTAAAATGAGTTTGTGATGGATTGGACATGAATCCGGACGTCAGACTTGCAGCAAACATTAGATCGGGTCTTGTTGAAGTTAGGTACAACAAGCTTCCCACGAGACTTCTATAATTTTTCTCATTTGCTGGCTGATCACCATCATCCTTTGATAGCTTCGTATTCACTGCTATAGGAGTGTCAATTGACTTACAATCCATCATTTTAAACCTCCTCAAAATATCAGCTGCATACTTGTGTTGTGAAACAAAAATTCTATCAGATCTTTGTTCAATCTCGATTCCAAGAAAATACTTCATTTCACCCAAGTTTGTCATCTCAAACTCCTTCTCAAGTTCAAGTGTGAATGAATATATCAGCTCTACATTGTTTCCAGTGATAAACAAATCATCCACATATAATGAGATGATCAAAACATTTGAGTGAAGATCTAATTTTACATAGAGTGTGTGCTCACTTTCACTTCTTTGGAATCCATTTTCATACAAGTGACCATCAATTCTGTTGTACCAAGTTCTTGGGGCATGCTTCAATCCATACAAAGCTTTCCTTAGCTTACACACATGATCAGGAATTGATTCTGAGATAAAGCCATCAGGTTGTTCTACAAAAACATCTTCTTCGAGTTCACCATTGAGGAAAGCTTATTTAATATCTAGCTGATGTATTTTCCACTTCTTTTGAGCTGCCAATGCAATCAGCAATCTGATTGTATCATGTCTTGCAATTGGAACAAAGGTTTCGAAGTAATCCATTCCACTTTCTTGAGCAAATCCTTCAACTACAAGTCTGGCTTTGTACTTGTAGATCGAGCCATCTGGATTTACTTTTGCTTTGTAAATCCACTTCACTCCAATTACCTTTTTATCAATTGGTCTTGGCACCAACATCCAAGTCTCATTTTTCTGAATCATCCTTATTTCCTCTTCCATGGCTTCAACCCATTTAGGATGCTTAGCAGCATCTTCATAGTTGTTTGGCTCAGCAATAGCCATATAGCATCTTTCATAAACTTCATTCAAAGGTCTAGTTCCTCTAGGAGGTGGACTAGAACTGGAAGTGAACTCAGATGGTCCATCTTTTGAAGCACTAGACTCTGTTATTGGTGGCTGAACTTCAGGTTCTATCACTGGAGTATTTTGCTGCACCATAGGTATAAGAACTGAAGGTTGCTGTGATTTAACTTCTTCCCAATTCCACTTGGCATTTTCATCAACTTTGATATCTCTTGAAACTCTAATCTTCTCAGTTTCCAGATTGTATACTTTATAGCCCTTTAACTGAGAACTATAGCCAAGGAAGATCCTTTTCACTGCCTTATTATCCAACTTGCTCCTCCTTTGATCTGGAACATGAATATAGCATAAAGATCCAAACACTTTGAGATGTTTTGCTGTAGGTTTCACACCATTCCAAGCCTCAACTGGAGTCTTGCCTTTCACAGCTTTAGTTGACAATCTATTTTGCAAATAGACTGATGTATACAAAGCCTCAGCCCAGAATTTCTTTGGCAAATCCTTCTCAGCCAACATGCTTCTTGCCATCTCCATCACTGATCTGTTTTTTCTTTCTGCCACTCCATTTTGCTGTGGAGTATAAGGCACTGTATGCTTGTGATGAACATCATTCTCTTCACAAAATTGATCAAACATCTTGGAGGTGTACTCTTTGCCATTATCTGATCTCAAAACTTGAATATTGCATCCCGACTTACCTTCAACTAAGGCCATGAATTTTTTAAAGATGTGAAACACATCTGACTTATTTTTCATGAAGTACACCCAGCACATTCTTGTGCAATCATCAATAAAGAGTACAAAATATCGATTTTCACTCAATGAGGGTGTTCTCATAGGTCTACAGATATCAGTATGCACCAGCTACAATTTCTGTGTTGCTCTCCATACTCCATCAGTTGGAAATGCTTCTCTATGCATCTTTCCATAATTGTAACTCTCACAGACTCCTCCTGGTTCTTGAATTGCAGAAAAATCCCTTACCAAACCTTGAGGGTGAAGGTTGGCCAAGGATTTAAAATTGTAATGACCATATCTTTTATGTCACATGTTTGATTCATCAAGTTTAACCTTAGTAGCATTTGCAATCATATTTTTCCAATAAATACTGAAACTTTTATTCCTCATAGGCACACAAGCAATCTCAACATTATTTGAATCATTTATCTTATACAAATGATATTTAAAATGCAATGAATATCCATTTTGAACCATTTGACTAACACTTAATAGGTTTGAACTTAAACCAGGTACAAGTAAAACATTATCAATGTACCTCATTACCTTCTTTGTTTGGACAGCAATGGTTCCAATTCCTTTGGCAGATACAATTTCACCATTTCCCATCTTGATTGTTGCTTTGCAATCTGGATTCAAGTTGCAAAAAATCTCCTCTTTGCTTGTCATATAATTTGTGCAAGCACTGTCAATAAACCATGAATCTTCCTCCACCATATTGGTCATGTGAAGTGCCAGGAATAGATGATCATTTCCCTTCTTTTCATAAGCTAGTGTAGCTTGCTGATTCTGTTGTCTAGGCTGATGATGGGTTGGAGTTTGATTTGGGCGATTTACGGGGTAATACTTTTCAGGATGACCAACTTTGTTGCACGCTCTTCACTTATGTGTTTTCCAACAAAACTTTTCCAGGTGGTTTGTTTTGCGACAAACACCACATGAAGGATGTGAATCTTAAGTTTCTCTACTCATCCCCCATTTGCTGCTAGTTCCTTCTCTTCTTTTCCTTGGATCAAACTGCCTCTTATTACCTTTGGAATACTGTTGTTTATGTTTGTCAGCAAAGGCACCCTCTACTGATTTTTCATTCCTTGCAGCGAGCCTTTGTTCATAAGCTAATAGAGCACCTGTAAGCTCAGTTAAAGTGAGACTTGACAGGTCTTTAGTATGCTGAAAGGCTGTTGTAACAGCATCATATTTTTCAGGCAATATAATCAACACTTTCTGAGCTACCCTTTTATTTGAAATCTTCTCACCATTTAGTTTGATTTGATTCATAATATCAACTACTCTTAAGGTGTAATCTTTAACTTTCTCAGTCTCTTTCATCCTGAGATTTTCGAATTCTCTACTCAAGGATTGCAATCTCACAGCCCTAACTTTTTCTGAACCTTTGAACTCCTCTTCAAGGTTATCCCATGCCACTTTAGTTGTAGTTGCAACAACTATTCTGGGAAACATTTCCTCTTACATAGCTATAAATAAGAAAGACAAAACTTTCATATTTTTCATGGACTGATCCTTTTGTTGCTTCAACTGAGCCACTGTATAGTTAGCATCATCCTCAGGTTTATCATAACCTTATTCTATCACCTCCTACAAATCGTAAGCCATCAATAATGCCTTCATTTTAACTGACCAAAAATCATAGTTTTCACCATTAAAAATAGCAAGTACAGGTAATGAAGATGAACTTGAACCAAACATTTTTCCACTCAAAATGCCGTATTTAGAGATACTGGATTTATAGATATCACACAGCAACACTGAATTTCGATTTGAATACAGGATTTCAACTTACCAATTGCCTTCAATAAATCTCAAATTTCAGCTTCTTCTTCAGCTACTTTTTTTTTTCAACTCTTCTTCTCCTTCCTTCTTTCTGGTCCCCTTTCTGAAGATCCTTAAGGGCCCTGATACTATTTGTTTGCTCTTAAAAAAAAACTTGATTGATGCTTTCTTCATCGAGCCCAGCAATATATCATATATCAAGATACAAAAGAGATTACATCAGAATATTAAAATACTCAATAACATCAGCTACAGTAGCGTAATGACAGATGGTATAACTATGTTGTAGACAAAAAAATATTAGCCTAACTAGAGTTTAAATAAAAGTTTTCACATTATCCTTCAAGAATTAGGGTTCTATTTTAAAAGGTAAACCTTATTCAAAAGAGTAGCACAATCTTTTATAAGTTGATATATGTTTTCATCTCTATTCGAATTGGGATTTTATCCCTAAGATTGTTAAAATCAATTTGATTGATGTATAGAATAAACACTCGCTCAAATTAATTAATCATTATTTAACACTCCTTTGAACTAAATTAATCCCACACATGTGAAATCATTTCAAACAGATTGTTAGTTTGATTTGGGAAAGGTATTTCTGCTGATCCTTGTATAAATTATATTTGCAAGTAAAAAATTAAGTTGTGAATTTGATATGCCTCGCATGTGCCTATTTATATGTTTTCTCCTAAATTTTTCATGCCTTTCTTTCTTAATTGTCTCAAACTCAAATATTCTATTGTGGTCTTTTTTGTTAGATACATTCTACAGTATTAAGGGGATTAATGAAGGGGAAAAAAAACTAAAATTCAGTCCATTCTACAATCTGCATAGTGTTAGGTACCGAACATGCTCTAAAGGTATATTAGTAAAAAGGCTCTAAAAGTATTAAAAAGAATGGTAAAGTTTCTATTTGTAGAACTACAGAAATAGATTCAGCCAAAAAGAAAATATGGATGTTGTACGATGTGCAATTCAATGTTGTGATTTTCTCGTTGAAGAATATTAGCAATGCGTGTACAATTTTTTTTTTTTTTGAAAGGATAATTTTTTGAACAACATAGTTCCAAGAACTAATCTAAAATTATACTAGATTCTGTCTCTAATCAGAATTAATGTTTGTCCACTCAAATGACAGAAAAGGGCGTGGAATGGCTCCTTCCACAAACAATCTGAGGCGACTTCTGGAATATCGATCCAAGAACGAAAGGCTTGAAATGTTTGATGGGCAGGGACGGCTCGTTCTAACTGTCACCCAGTACATATTAAAATTGTGCTCTGAAGACGACAAAATAATTGTTTTGTTAGAGCGCCTTGACGATTCAGCGAAGCTTTGCTGGGGTCACAGTCGTC